TATGATAAAAATAATTATTCAGCTATAAAAAGTCAACCAGCTATAAAGTTATTGCTTTAAAATATGTAACAACTTTATAGCTGGTCTCTATCCAGCTTTAATCTGAATGTGTAGCAGGGCCCTAAGGTGCCATGTTACCCAGCTTCCTACCATCTACTTACGAAATGTATGCAAACCCAAATAAAAGACAACAACTTCTTTACAAAGACGGCAAGAACTGTTATTTTTAAATAGACATGAAATTAGTGCCTACACTAATGAGCAGTTTTCAAATGTATTTTTCTTTATCTTATAATTTGTTTAGAGAGGTGGGAAGAGAGGCAGTTAGCTGTGTTAGTCTGAAGTCAGACACAATGTAGCATAGGCTGGCACCTGTGCTAACTGCTTCAGAGAGGCATGAGCTTTTGTAGCCAACAACCTACTTGGTCAGCCTACTAAAAACAGACACACAAAAATAATTTATTTAGACAATTCATGACTTCCAATTTAGAAAAGAAATATATTTTCTGGATAGATACTTATATTTTATGTACCAAAATATGTAATCTGATATGTCTGTATGAAAATCACGTTGCAGTGGGACTGATTGAACATCAAAGGAAAGTAAGACTTGGAAGGCATATTTACAGTAACTAAGTTATTTAATAAATAGACAAACTGTAACTTTTCCTAGGTCATTTCATTTATACAACTGCTTCACAATGTACCACTCAACAGATAAGTATTTTTTTTTTTTTGAATATTCAGCTTACCCAGGGTCCTTGACATCACTGGCAAAGCAGAGCTGAGCACTAATATTGAGACACAGTTTCCAATTATCTGTTTTGAACAAAAGAGCATTCCTTCCATCAAAATAGGATTTTTGTTAAAAGCAAACATTTTTCCTGATTTCACATTTTGTTGTTTTGATGTCAGTTCCTTAAAGGTTCATTCTGCAAACTGGACTTAATATAATTGTTGTTTAAATTATATAAACTTAACTTGATCTTGCTTCTACCAGATATCTCCAGTTTCCTTCTGAGATGAACTGGTAAGCAGGCAAAACAAGACACACACACCAAGATTTTCTTTTAAAAAGGCAATTTCATAAACTTAAAGAAGCTACAATTCATTTGACAATTTAAGTCCCAGTCATGCAACCACTTGTGCTTGCATCATTCCATTGGCTTTATTGGGATGACTGATAAGTAAAATTAAGCATGTTATAACTGCTTGCAAGATTAAAGTTTTATTTTTATACAGTTACGAAAAACTAAAAATTGTTTCTCTTCTACCTGCGTTGATATTGGTAAATGTAAAGATTTTTAAAAATCATAACAATGTTAGTTTTGGCTGCAATTTTAGTAAAATTCCAAAAATAAATAGTTAAAGCTGTATTTACTATCAGATAATAGACAAATCTGTTCAATTCTAATTCTATAATTATTAACAAGAAAAGGTGAATTAAAGTTACAAAAGCATCAACATATTTGTCATTTACTTATATTTTGTTCCTATTTTTCCTCAACTATTCCTGAGATACTGAAAGATGTGCAGACACGAAGACAATTTCAACCCAGTTTCCAATGCTACATAAAGTAAGGAAAGGCATGGAATAGTCTTAGCAAATATCTTGTATCATAAAATCAATGTGTTTAGACACTACTACTTTCATATATTTAATCATGAAATTCATGTAAATGATGTGATTCATGTAAATTATGGAGGATTATTTAATTATTTAAATACTCCATCTGCCCCTTGCTTATTGAGCGCTCCCTCTTGTCAGTTTGTGGGAATATTTTGTCAAAAAATGTATGCATGTGCCTCAGCATTAGGTAACAGCATTCGTTAATTCTGAAGCCAATGCCAAATTGCGGAAAAAGTCAAATTAACCTCAGACTGCAAAACGTTGCTGAATAGACCTCCTCAGTCTTACTTTAATTATTCAAATTTGAATTACTTTGTCTGTATTACTTGTAGCAACCAAGTTCTTCAGATTTCAAATAAGCTCCCTGAAGTACAGTTAGCACAATCAAAGTTACTCATTAGCAATACGTTTCCTTTGAAAAAAGTCCTTTCACTAGCTTTTTCTATAGCTAGTTAACAAGCTCCACTATTCCAGGCTTTTTACAAGTGAATGGATGCCATCCAAACTAAACAGAGCACATCCTTTTTCCCACTCATTCAGCATTTTGAAAATCTTCCAGTTTGTGTTTACGCAGCTTACAAACAAATACTGATCACTGCAAATGAGCCATTCAGAGCAATTACTAACTAAAAGAGTCAGTTTGTCTTGGGTGGCAAAAAGGGGGGCCATCACCACCTCAGATTTTACCTTACCTTTGTCATAGTTGTGTCATCCTTCCTGGGAGTGAAATTTTCAAAAAAGCGAAGACTGTAGAAGCCGACGACAGAGGACACCATAAGATAGCTGTGAGAATCAAGGAAAAAAGAACCTCCAAGGAATGCAAGTTTCACTCAAGTTCTCAGCAGCCTCCTAAAAGTCTTAAGAACCAAGGGAAAAAAAACAAAAACACTTCGAGTGCTTGAGAAGGACTGACCTGTCTCTTTCTTCTTTCCAGGCAAGTGTCTTAGTAAATTACCAGCGTCCCAGAAAACTAGACAGAATACTTGTTAACAGACAGCATACTTAAAGAAAGGATACAAAATCAAAATGATTTCAAGTGCTGCTCCCACAAAACCAAAAGTGGACAGAGAAGCATTTCCTATCCCAGGCCCCTACGAGAGAAGAAAACCAAAAAAAAAATACTTTGCATAAATTAATGATACACACGCACATTAAGTGTTCAGAAAGTTAACTTCTGTCCTTACCAAGGATCTGAGATCCTTGGATTAAAGATGTACTGTAAAATAAAATATTCCATGATTCAAGGGTAGAAATTCGGGGTAGCTTCAAATTTAGTTTTACATTCTGCCTATCTAAATTAAACAAGCTCAATTTCAAAATCTGAGTAAAATGTTTTACAATAGGAAAATAAAACAGAGTTTTCCAACATTATTATTCACATCGCATGTAATTTATAAGCATATGCCCCAGTACTTTGGATGCTAAATCTAAAATCTCCAAGTCACACTTTTTTCAGTGCATGCATTATTACTAATGGAACAGCAGCTTGCACTAAATGGCTTCATATAGTTGTGCAAATATGTGATATGACTGTACTCATCTAAGCTAAATCATTAATAAGCTAGAAAAAAAAGTTGTAATGGCATTAATTGGGACAACCTAAAAATGTGCAGGCTGCTTTTTTCTTGAAATAAAATACTTTAAAAATATTAAAGTTTATTTCCAAAATAAAAAATAAAGTTATGAAAACACCAAAAAGATAATAAGGATATTTTGTTCCATTTTGAAATAAATTTCCTTATAAAGATGTATTAATTCTGTTCCACTTAAAAATGGAAGCACCAAGAAAATATATGCCCTTTAATTCTGATGGTGCTCTCATTTACCTACTTTGTTAATTACTACTGTATCAACATCAGCCTGATCTTCCTAAGAGATAAATGAAGCTACTAAATGCAAGCAAAATTAGATATAAGCTAGCACGTTTGCAGAACTAAACCCACAGAATCAAACTCAGGTGTTAAACGCACTTTTTAAAGCTATTAAACTGAAGCCTCTTGCTGGTGCTTTTTCAAAACTTCCAGTGAACATGTTACTGATGTTTGCAAAAAAAAAAAAAAAATCACAGTTTACTTTACCCCTGATCCCTTTGGCATTGCAGTCTCATCGACCAACAGGCGAAGAATGTTGCAAGCAACCAAGAGGACTGATAAGGACTATAAAGAAGTAGAGACATTCTGTCAATTCTAAGGTTTTAACACTTAAATAATATAAATGTTTAAACATAATGAAATCTGGTGTCAATAAAACTTTTATCTTTGCAGAAAAAAAATCTCAAGAAGGGATTGCTGGTTCTCATATTTTCTTGGTTATCACCTCCATTACTCAAAGCCATTAAAATTATCCCCCAAACAACTATTATACACAAGGAAAAAAAGACAGTAAAATTCTTACCGTTACAAAGAGTAGCAGTATCATAACAGCTGGATACACTAAATTCCTCTCCCATGCAGAAGCTTTTTTTCGTCGCTCTTTTCAGAGAGGAAAATAGGAGACTTAGAACCTTATACCAGTTGTCTTGGGTGGCAAAAAAGTATGTTATTGCTTTCTATAATGGGCTTATTTTGTAGATTTTAATTGTAGGCAACCTTCTACATCAACTTGAGTGAAAGGGGTACTAACTAGCTGGTATCTTCCTGGTATGGTGCAATTTTGCAAAGTTTTAAATTGCACCATGATATTTTTTTTTTTTTTATTTTTTTTTTTAAACCACACACCTTGACATACTCTTGAACACATAACACTTAGATGATTCCACATCATGCTGGTTTAGGGTTAGTCAACATATATGCCTATACTTATTTTAACAGGCATTAGATATCACTATGGAGTCTAAAAATCCATTTTTACTTACCACTTTGATATCTAGCATAAGGCATTTTCCTAACCTTGAGCTGGTAACAACTACTGCAGTGTCTTGAATATTGTGAGCTAAGCTAATAAAAAGGAGATGCAGCGATATATCTGGTATATTAGATCGGCACTGACAAAAGGAAAATTAACATCATTGGCAACTGGCTTTTTTCAGCCAGTGTAGTCAATGTTACTGATAAATGCCACATGCGTACGCACAGCCACTGCATGCACAGGGCACAGAATTACAATAATAAATTTGTATCAGTCAACTGCAAGGTATTTTGGCACATTTCATATATTTTGGCTATTTTGTAACAAGTTTCACAGACACACTACTAATCAAACCCATACCTAGCTTTGTTTTTGTGCTCTTCACACTTTCAAGTTCCCATTCCAGCTCTGTTGTACTGTACTCCACAGCAGAAGATAAACCTGATCAAAAGAAAGACATAGGGGTTTCTTTGGTTTATGTTTTTGAGAGACCACTAAAATGAATCCCACAAGATACATTATGAAAACAGTTTTTAGCATGCTTATTATAGCAACAATACTTTTCCTTAAACCAATGGCAAATGGTTCGTTGGAGAGCTGCAGATAACAAATATAAGTCTGACTGGGGATCTTCTTGCTCTCTTTATCAAAAGAAGTCCTCCATACCAAAATGTCCCATGAGGAACCTGATGGGGATCCTCTAAGCAATGTGTGAAAGACAGGAGGAAAAGGAGATGGTGTTACAGACAGATTCAAGAAGAGAAACAATCTGACAGTGCGTGGAAAGGACCGTATCTGTTGCCTCAGTGCCCATGGCAGCAATTCCCAAATTGTGAGTCACGGCCCCAAATGGGGTCGCGACATCAGCAGATGGGGTCAAAGGGGTGGGAGGCTGTGGGTTGGGAATGAGGGGTCATGCTGAGGAAATGGGGACATAAATGGGGTCATGATGAGGAAAAGTTTGAGAAGCAATGACCTATGTTATATCATGGTGCAAATACAGCACTACACACTCTGATGGCCTTTCAAAGTATTTTGTAGCTTTCTAAAATTCCATTTAAAGATGATGCATACCAAATGCTTCTAAGACTGACCAAAGCTGTTTCAAGGAGATATAATGGCTTTCTTTTTGCTTCTGTGTACAATGAACACTGACAACAGAATAATACTGGGTACCTCACTAGATCATGGCAAATTCACACATTCCCTTTTCCCAACAAAACTGCCTTTACAGCTGAGTTCTCTGCATCTCCATGTCATCTATTGTCCACCCAATTTCTAGTTCCAATTCTTGGTTGTCCTTCTTACTCAGTGACTTCAGCTTCCAAGATGATGCCCAGGGATCCGGGATTTCTGTTTCCCATGGGAAAAATGGAGAAAGCTACAGATTTTACCTGTTACCAGAGGAAACCTCAGATTTCTCATTTTACTGGAGAAACCCACAGATTTTGCAGTTTTGCAAAGAACTCTCCGCCAGCTGGCAGAGTTCCAGCCTGCAAGGGCCTGGGAGACAGCAGGAGGAAGGCGGTCAGTCAGGGGATGCCACATGCATGTATATGCACGTGACCACCAGGCAGCCAAGAGAGCAGCTCCCGCAGGTAAGTGGGGGTGGGGTGGGGAGGGGGAAGCACTGAGGCCCCCATAGGGAGGGAGGGAGTTGGGCATGGCTGGGGCTGGGCCTGCTGCCCAGCTGGGCGGTGCATGAGGCTTGGGGCCTGGGGCCACAATGTGTGGCCACAGGGCCCTGGCAGGGAGTAGGATGGGGCTGCAGGCAGCTTGACCAGGGGGCAGGGTGAAGGGGCTAGCTCCCTGCCACTGCATGCACACCCAGGGAGGCAGGGAGGACCCATGCCCCCCACATCTGTGCACGGGATGGGGGTGAGCTGCCTGCTGTGGGCTCAGGCTCCCCACCCTGCTGCCCTCCCCCAGGGTCTCCACAGCCCAGAGGTTGTAATCCGGCACTGCAGGGAACAGCGGGGGCCACATGGGGAGCCTCGTTGCCGCTCCAAGCCCTGCACTGCCCTGGCAACACATCCGCTGCCCACGTAGCTGCAGCAAAGGGTACAACCCCACAGCACTGCTCCTGCTGCTTCCACGTAGGCAAGGGACATGGCACCACACGAAGAGAGCTTACAGTGGCTAGCAGCTTCCTCATGTGGCCCTGCTGTTCCCAGCAGCACTGGGTCACACCTGCTGGGCAGTGGAGGCCCTGGGGGAAGGCAGCAGGGCAGAGAGCCCGAGACTACAGTGGGCAACCCATCCCTGTCCCAGCCCCGCCCACAGATCTGTGGGGCACAAGTCCCCCCTGTCCCCCAGAAGTGCACGCAGTGGCAGAGAGCTGGCTCCCCTCCCACCTAAGCCTGGAGCAGGCTGGTTGGGGAGCTGGGCTTCACTCCACCCCAGCAACCCTCCAGCAGGGTTGGAGTTGGAGGGGGCAGGGAAGAGGAGTGATGGGCACCAACAGGAAAATTATCACTTCCCTAGACCTGCTGGCAACACACCTATCAGTGCAGCCCAGTATGCCATCATCGGCTCCATGATTTTTCCAGGAACTGAGGTGTAGTTGCCTGGATCCTTTTTACCTTTCTTAAATATGGGCACTATGTTTTCCCTTTTCCAATCATCTGAGACTTCTCCTGATTGCCATGAGTTTTCAAGGATGATGGCCAATGGCTCTGCAATCACATCAGCCACCTCCATAAACACACTCGAGTATTAAAATGTTCACCTTATCAAAATCCCTCTACTTGCCCATCCCAAAATCTACTTTCTCCAAATCCCTCTAGTTGCCCAACCCATCTCCTAATTTTGTGTGTCCACACTCATCTCTTCTTTGATGACTCCTTTCAACTTTTCACTCTTCTCTGGCCCCTGTCCTGCCACACCTCAATCATGCTTTTGTCTCTCCCATCTTAAAAATCCTTCTTTACTCTATTTGCCCCTCCAACTGCCCCATCTACCTCAGGTCTGAAGCCTCTTACAACTGCTGTCTACAGTTTCTCTCTTCAAACTTCACCCTGACCTTCTCCGATGCAGCTTCTACTCCTTGAGCTTATTCCATTGAAACTGCTCTTGCCAAAGTCTCTCAGAAGCAAAATTCCATCCCTCTTCCTGACATGTAATTTAAATACTGCCAACATTGCTCTTCTTGATATCATGTCTCTTCCTGGTTTCTGTTATTATCGTCTCCTGGTTCTCCTCCTGCTTGTAAGTATTCCTTCAGCATCGTCTTTGGAGGATCCTCCTCATTTATTTTCCAAATTTCTGTGAAGGTTATGTAGAGTTCTTCTCTTTGACCCTTCTCTTCTACATCTTATTTCTGAATAATCTCATCTGTATGTTAACTACAGATAAGTTTGGTGTAGAGTTGGATGCATCTCCTTTTGTCAAACTGAAAACTTTGATCCAGCACCACTAACAGAAATCTAACTTGGCCAACAAGTAGTTCTTATTCTTCTCCTCCCAACTTTTCTCAATCTGGTCTTTTCTTGACCTCTGCCTGTCATAGGCCCAAAACATTAGCCTACATCATCTTCAACTCTGATCCCCAAGTCATCACATCCAGCCTTGCAGATTCTTTCTGCATAATCTGTTCTTCCACACAACTAAACCTCTTGTCCAAATGATCAAACTGCATGTTGAATATTTGCCCCACTTGATTTCTCTAGCTCTATCAAACACAATCTTGCTCTTCTTATATGCATTCACAATGCTGCAAACAAAGACCATTGCAGGCTATTGTTTTTTCCATATCGTGTCTCTATTTCCATCCTTCTATTCCTTCCCACTGCTCTACTGCATCAAGCATCAGCTACTTTTCACTTTCAATACCCATCATGACTTATTCCCCGCCCCCATCTTTATCTCCCATGCACTATCAAAATGTGAACTCCCATTTCCAATTAGCCAATGAGGCCACTCTCTTTCAGACACTTAAAAGTTTTCAAACTAGAACCTCTCAGGCACTGTCGCTTGCACTTGGAAGGAGCTATCCAAAAATAAATACCTCCTTAAAATTTTTTGCCACAATACGTACAAAAACTAAACAGTGCTTAGGCAAATGGTGTACTAAAACCACTGCCTATCATGTGAACAAATCTTTTTCCACTGTTTCCTTGTAATCTACAACTATCTCTGTGTCTGTTGTCTTAGACTTACAGAATAAGTTCTTTGAGAAAGATTTTTTTTTGTTGATTTTCTATAGCACCTAGTAAAGCAAGGCTTGCAAGGTAATATGGTAACAAAACATAATTACCAGAGACAGATCTCTAATACACCTTTAATGTTTTGCTACTACGTACTGAAGTTGCTAACTTGTTTTGATATGGCAATGTTCTTATGCATTTCAAACACTATTTTTACTAGGAAATAGGATTTAATTTTTGTTTTAAATTACTGTGACTCTTTCTACTGGGTCCAATGCTGGGGTGGCAAAGTCTGCCTGGATCCCACCTTGCTTGCCTCCTCTGGCCTCGCAGGGTCCCACTCTGTTGTCTCACCTGCCACACCTTCATGTTATGATTGGATAGGAAGGCTGCCCCCGGCAAAGGTGGGGGAAAGAGGGCAATTGGGTATTAGGCCCTAGTCTGGGCTGAGGCCCTCTGACCTTCACCCACTTTACTCTGGCTGGACCCCTCCACCTGAGGTCCACTGTCTCAGGACCACAGACTCCTGGGTCCCAGCTCCAGCCCCACCCTCATGAGGTCTGGGCCCTTCAGCCTCTGGTCTTGCCCTTGCAAGCTCTGGGCTTGCACTCCCAGTCTTTACTGTCCAACACAGGTCCTTCTGCTAACAGCAGTGCTAGACGCTTTGAAGGGTTTACGACAGGAGTTGTCAATTATTTGGACCCAAGGGCCACATAGGGAGTTTTGATGAGCTGTTGTGGGCCAGGTCAACACCTCCCCCACAAACTCACCAAAACTCCCTATGGGGCTTTGGGTGGGTAGGGAGCAGTGTTTAAGAGCAGGACAGGTACACCCTACCCTGTAGGCAGGGCAAGTGATGTGTGGAGGGAGAGTGTGAGCGTGTGTGTGGGGGGGGGTTGCCTGGGAGCCAATGTGGCATGGGGGGGGGGGGGGGGGGGAACCGGAACCCGGGAGAAAGGCCCACCCTGGCACGCGCCGCCAGAAA